GGTCGGGGGGTAGTTGGTTGAAATTGTGAAGGGACAGGTTGATGGGTGAGTTGGTGTGTCGGTATGTGTGTGATGTTCTCAATGTGTATGTTCTCATGTATCGTAGTGCATATGGCTGCTCTGTGATTGGTCGTGCAAGATGAGGCTGTTGCAGGTGAAGGGGAGCGCGGATGTACTTGATGTTGTGGGCAAGAGTAACCTGTCGTAAGAGTTGCCGGGAGACTAATGTGGGGAGTTGGAGATGATGAAGAAGTGAGCTGTGATGGACTGGTGCAAAAAGGGGTATCCGCAAGCAGATACGGGCTGCTCGTCGCTGAACGCGTTCTAATTGGTCCTTCTGTGTGCGGGTGGTGTTGGATAACACGAGACTGCCGTACTCTATAACCGGGCGAATGTAGGCGGTGTAGATTACGAGCAGACTGGGGGTGTTAAGTTGGCCTCGCGTTTTACGAAGTTGGTGAAGGAGTGTTTTGGATTTGTTTACAGTTGAACATCGATTATCCGACCACCTCTGGGCAGACAACTGTCAGGCGGTGTTCAGATAAGGCAAATGTTCCGGATAAGAAAAAACTGTCCCTCACACACTTTCAGTGGTTATTACTAGCCGCACGACCTTTTTACTTTTTACTTTTCAAAATTTTCGTATTTTTTGAATGGCTCACTACAGGCACAGTGCGTACTCTACGGCACGTGCGCCCAAAAAAACTGTTACGGGTAATCGAATGGTCGGATAGTTGATGTGCGGATAATCGATGTTCAACTGTATTATGTGCGTGACATGTGAGTTCCATTGGACGTTGTTTTGTAGTATGATTCCAAGGTGACGGTGTTCGTTGACTTGCTTTAGGGGTGTGCCGTTAAGAGTGATGTTGAGTTGGTGGTTTGGTGTGAACGACAAGGTAACGGTCTTTGAGGCATTGACGAGGAGGTGCCATCTGCGCAGCCAGGTTGCGGCAGCTGAAACGGCTGACTGCAGGGACAACTCCGATGTCAAACGGCTCTGGTGTGTTGCGATGAGCGCCGTGTCATTTGCAAATTGGCTGCACTTTGTGTTCGAGTTGGTGCAGGCAGAGGGCAGGTCAATGGTGTAGATCAAGAACAGCAGGGGGCATAGAACGGATCCTTGGGGCACCCCTGCTGGTATGGCTTGCCACTCACTGAAGGCGTCGCCGACACGAACACGTTGACGGCGATGGGTGAGGTAGTTGACCATCCATTGCAGGGCGGTATCCTTCAGGCCGAGGTGTTGCAGTTTCTTGAGGAGACCGGCGTGCCAGACTCTGTCGAAAGCCTTCGAGAGATCAAAAAACCAAGATGTGACGGAAAGACCTTTATCTCGGCTCTCGGAAACCTCGTGCACGAGTCTGGCGAGCTGGAGTTCGGTGCTATCATTGGCACGAAAACCGGATTGATCCACTGGGAGGAAGGGTGTGACGTGCTTGTAACATGAGCCAGCTGTAATGTCAGTGGTCGCATTGGTTTGATTTTTGGTTTGCTTGTAGGGCGCTGGCACCCACATTCAGTGACCCAGAAAATTTGGCACTGCTGTGAATAGTTTAGTCGCAAAGTGAAGATTCATGGGAAAAAAGCCCCAAACTTTGATATAGGTTATTATTCAGCTTTCAGCAGCCCTGCGCGAGTTCTTTAGAGAAACGTGGGTCTTTTTCTGGGTGCCCTTGTCTATGTCCAGCTACACAACAAGATGAGGATGGTTATTGTCAATTCCTGAGCTTAGAACGGGTCGAAAGGTGAGAAAATGTCGGATTCTGACCATTTGTGCTCACCTTCAAATTTCAACGTACCTCTCTATAACATGAACCAACTGTAATGTCAGTGGTCGCATAGGTTTGGTTTTTGGTTTGCTTGTAGGGCGCTGGCACCCACATTCAGTGACCCAGAAAATTTGGCACTGCTGTGAATAGTTTAGTCGCAAAGTAAAGATTCACGGGTACAAAGCCCGAAACTTTGATATAGGTTATTATTCAGCTTTCAGCAGCCCTGGGCGAGTTCTTTAGAGGAATGTGGGTCTTTTTCTTGGTGCCCTTGTCTATGTCCAGCTACACAACAAGTTGAGGATGGTCATTGTCATTTTCTGAGCTGCGAACGGGCATAAAGGTGAGAAAATGTCGGATTTTGACCATTTGTGCTCACCTTTGAATTTCAACGTACCTCTCTATAACATGAGCCAGCTGTAATGTGAGTGGTCGCATTGGTTTGAATTTTGGTTTGCTTGTAGGGCGCTGGCACCCACATTCAGTGACCCAGAAAATTTGGCACTGCTGTGAATAGTTTAGTCGCAAAGTAAAGATTCACGGGTACAAAGCCCGAAACTTTGATATAGGTTATTATTCAGCTTTCAGCAGCCCTGGGCGAGTTCTTTAGAGGAATGTGGGTCTTTTTCTTGGTGCCCTTGTCTATGTCCAGCTACACAACAAGTTGAGGATGGTCATTGTCATTTTCTGAGCTGCGAACGGGCATAAAGGTGAGAAAATGTCGGATTTTGACCATTTGTGCTCACCTTTGAATTTCAACGTACCTCTCTATAACATGAGCCAGCTGTAATGTGAGTGGTCGCATTGGTTTGATTTTTGGTTTGCTTGTAGGGCGCTGGCACCCACATTCAGTGACTCAGAAAATTTGGCACTGCTGTGAATAGTTTAGTCGCAAAGTGAATATTCACGGGTACCAAGCCCTAAAAACTTGGACATAGGTTATTATTCAGCTTTCAGCAGCCCTGGGCGAGTTCTTTAGAGGAATGTGGGTCTTTTTCTTGGTGCCCTTGTCTATGTCCAGCTACACAACAAGTTGAGGATGGTCATTGTCATTTTCTGAGCTGCGAACGGGCATAAAGGTGAGAAAATGTCGGATTTTGACCATTTGTGCTCACCTTTGAATTTCAACGTACCTCTCTATAACATGAGCCAGCTGTAATGTGAGTGGTCGCATTGGTTTGATTTTTGGTTTGCTTGTAGGGCGCTGGCACCCACATTCAGTGACTCAGAAAATTTGGCACTGCTGTGAATAGTTTAGTCGCAAAGTGAATATTCACGGGTACCAAGCCCTAAAAACTTGGACATAGGTTATTATTCAGCTTTCAGCAGCCCTGGGCGAGTTCTTTAGAGAAATGGTACTGTTGTTGTAGTACGTTATTCTCCTGGTGCCCTTGTCTTTGTCCAGCTACACAACGAGATGAGTATGGTCATTCTCATTTTCTGAGCTGCGAACGGGCCGAAAGGTGAGAAAATGTCGGATTTTGACCATTTGTGCTCACCTTCCAATTTCAACGTACCTCTCTATAACATGAGCCAGCTGTAATGTCAGTGGTCGCATTGGTTTGATTTTTGGTTTGCTTGTAGGGCGCTGGCACCCACATTCAGTGACCCAGAAAATTTGGCACTGCTGTGAATAGTTTAGTCGCAAAGTGAAGATTCACGGGTACCAAGCCCTAAACTTGGAGATAGGTTATTATTCAGCTTTCAGCAGCCCTGGGCGAGTACTTTAGAGAAATGTGACTGTTTCTCTTGGTGCCCTTGTCTATGTCCAGCTACACAACGAGATGAGTATGGTCATTGTCATTTTCTGAGCTGCGAACGGGCATACAGGTGAGAAAATGTCGGATTTTGACCATTTGTGCTCACCTTTGAATTTCAACGTACCTCTCTATAATATAATTTTCACGGTTCGCGTGAGACTCGGCTGGAAGCCGGGTTTTCCGCATCCGTAGGAACGCCACCACCCTTCAAGGATCAAGGCGCAGATGCAGTTCCTAAAGCGGTGGGAGGTGAGTAGATCAGCTCACCAGCAAGTGGTCAAAGACCGAAAATCCCATTCACTGCATACATGTTCCTCGTGCCAGGCCACGAGTTCCCAATTAAAGGGGAACTGTCACCAAAAATATTTTTTGTCTTATCTTGTAGTTCTTTGGCTCCTGATCACGATGGTTTTATCCGTTTTTCTCTGCGATGGCTGGAAGTGGGTGAAAACTTGAAAAGAAGGTGCCCAAAATTGTCCCGAAGTACCGAGTGACGTCACGCCGGACTTGACCTCCACGCGTACATTCGTCGTCAAAAACGAAGTCCAGCCCGTGTGCTGGTCGATTGAGCTAGCTGTTCCAATGTACGGTGCACGTGTGCCTTTTGAACTGTAACACAGATGGGTACGTCGTACCGAAGGAGAATGCCAAAGAGGCAGTGACCCACGTGCAGCTACACAGCCAAATCAAAATAAAAAGCAGCTGAGCTTTCACCTTTTTGACTTCTTCCACGAGGATCTAAGTTTTATTTTGTGAGAACGGAAGTACGTCGTTGTTTTGAACTTTTCGTGTGAGGAACAACACGATGATGAGTGCGTATGCAGAAAACAGTACTCCTCCGGCCGGCGATAACACCACCAACCCGAGCCCCAAAGGAACGCAATGTAGGTACGTGAAGGCGATTCATCTGGCGATGTTGCTGAAGATGCCGATGACAAACTCCGACGTCTTTCATTTCAGAGCCGAGTGGGCAACACCGCCACCTTCGGCTTCGATACAACGACATCATTTTCAAGCACGAGGTATGTGTGTCACACTAACAGCAAACAAACATCCTTCCACTCCTTCGTAATCACAAATAAAACAAAGAGCTGGAGCTTCGTGGAGGAAGTACCAGTGCGACAAATTGCTGTCGACTTTAGTATATTTTGTCCCTTTTTGGCGTTCTCATTGTGTACAACGTACACATCGAGTGTCCGAGTTCAGAAGGCAAGCGTGCACCGTACATCGAATAGTTGGCTCGATCGACCAGCACACGGGCTGGACTTCGTTTTTGACGACGAATGTACGCGTGGAGGTCAAGTCCGGCGTGACGTCACTCGGTACTTCGGGACAATTTTGGGCACCTTCTTTTCAAGTTTTCACCCACTTCCAGCCATCGCAGAGAAAAACGAATAACACCATCGTGATCAGGAGCCAAAGAACTACAAGATAAGACAAAGAAAATTTTTGGTGACAGTTCCCCTTTAACTGTGGGTCGCAGCACGGCTAGAAAAAATCCTTCCGTTATTATTCAGCTTTCAGTAGCCCTGGTTGAGTTCTTTAGAGAAATGTGACTGTTTCTCTGTGTGCCCTTGTCTATGTCCCGCTACACGACGAGATGAGTCTGGTCATTGTCATTTTCTGAGCTGCGAACGGGCCGAAAGGTGAGAAAATGTCGGATTTTGCTCATTTGTGCTCACCTTTGAATTTCAACGTACCTCTCTATAACATGAGCCAGCTGTAATGTCAGTGGTCTCATTGGTTTGATTTTTGGTTTGCTTGTAGGGCGCTGGCACCCACATTCAGTGACGCAGAAAATTTGGCACTGCTGTGAATAGTTTAGTCGCAAAGTATGGAATCAAGCAAGAGTACGAGTGTGAGATCGCCTAATCACAGCCCGCCGCGCGAAGCGCGAAGGGCTGTGATGTAGGCTGATCGAACATGAGTACGAGTGTTTTGATTGCATTTCTGACATGCACCCGCGCTTGAAACTCATATCGGACTTGTAAATACTTCGCGAAGGGCTGTGATTGGCTGATAGAACGTGAACACGACTGTTTTGATTGGATTTCTGACAAGAACACGCACTTCGATCTTCCTATCGCGCTTGAAAGCACGACTGTCAACCTTCTCGAGCCGGAGTCAAGTAAAAAAAAGCGAGCTTGATCAGTGAATCAAAGCCCTAGTGGAGCGGGCTTTGATCGTAAAATCAAAGCCCGCCTGGGCGGGCTTTGATGGGAAAATCAAAGCCCGCTCCACTAAATATGGAGTTCTACTTCTTGTAGCATGCTTTGATGGCCTCATCTAGGCCCTGCTAGGTGCAATGCGATTGGTCATCTCCGTGCCTACAGTCTTGTGACATGTCAGAAGTGAAGATTCACGGGTACCAAGCCCTAAACTTGGACATAGGTTATTATTCAGCTTTCAGCAGCCCTGGGCGAGTTCTTTAGAGAAATGGTACTGTTTCTCCTGGTGCCCTTGTCTATGTCCAGCTATATAACGAGATGAGTATGGTCATTGTCATTTTCTGAGCTGCGAACAGGCCGAGTCCTCGCGGACACGAGTCCTCGCAATGTTCGTCCATCACAGACATCAAGCGCCGCAAGGAGCTGATACGCAAGAATGGTCGTTGCTTCATCTGCCTGAAGAAGAACCACATGGCTCGCGACTGCAAGTCCAGGCTGAGATGTAGCAAATGTGAGCATCGACATCATACGTCCATTTGCGAACCCAAGTCGTCAGAGCAGCCTGGGACTGGCGCGAAGACATCATCTCCGCCATCTAGACAAGGCGGAAGTGGAAAATGGTCGAAGTCAGTGTTTTCGTCAACAACCGCAGCTACTGTCAGCGACAGCGGAGCTGTATTTCTACAAACTGCACAGACCTCGGTGGTCTCGCCTCAACGTCCAGATCGAAAAGTGCCTGTACGAGTAATGCTAGACGGTGGGAGCCAACGCTCGTACGCTACATCATCGGTACTGACTTAGCTGGATGTGCGCCGCTCCGGTCAAGAACGTGTAGTGATAAACGCGTTTGGCGGCGAACAGCCAAGCCCAAGCACACTCCGGGACGTGGTCGAACTGGACATTCAGTGCGTCGATGGCAACCGGATTCATGTCAACTGCATCGTCGTTCCATCAGTCTGTGCACCCATGCAAAATCAGCACACCGCAGATGTAGTCACAGCGTACGAGTCTCTACAGAATCTCAGTCTCGCCGACAACTGTGGCGGCTCAGCTAGCATCGACATTCTACTCGGCGCTGATGTTTATTGGCAGATCGTCACGGGCGACATCGTTCGTGTAGATGATGGGCCAACTGCTCTCGATACTCGCCTCGGGTGGGTTCTGTCCGGACCAACAGGCAGGTGTAATTCAGGCATCATCTCCACTAACGTCGCAACCGTTCACGCTTGCGATGTCGAACCATCTACCGTGCAAGATCCAGACAGTGCTTTGGTCCAGCTACTCCAGACGTTCTGGCAGCTTGAATCCATCGGCATCTTGCCTAATGAACCGGACACTCTGCAGCTGTTCCAACAGACCATCCGCTACGATGGGCAGAGGTACACGGTCAGGTTGCCATGGAGGGAGAATCATCGCGCGCTTCCAGACAATTACAGTCTGTCCGAGAAACGGCTGCAGTCAACACTCAAGAAACTGCAGAAGTCACCAGAAATTCTGAAGGAATACAATGCAGTAATTCAAGAGCAACTTCAGAAGGGCATCATCGAGGAGGTGCCAACTACAGAGCACGACGTGGTGGGCGAAGTACATTACCTGCCTCACCATCCTGTCATTCGGCAGGACAAGACCACTACGAAGGTTTGTGTGGTGTACGATGCCTCAGCCAAGGTGAAGACGCATCCGTCCCTGAACGACTGCATCCACACGGGACCACCGCTGCTCGAGCAGATCACCAGCATACTGCTCCGGTTCCGAACGCATGCGGTAGCCTTCACCGCAGACATAGAGAAGGCGTTCTTGATGGTTGGGATTGAGGCAGCCGACCGCGACGTCCTACGCTTCCTCTGGGTCGACAATCCCACAAGCGCTCAGCCTGTACTCAAGACGTACCGATTCACGCGTGTTGTCTTCGGTGTATCCGCTAGCCCATTCTTATTGAACGCTACCCTGCAACACCATCTCGCCAAGTTTGATCCCGAGTTCACTACGAAGCTGCTGCAGAGTCTGTACGTGGACGATGTTGCGAGTGGCGGCAACAGCAATGCAAATGCGTTGGAATCGTTCAACCGTGCCAAGAATCACCTTGCAACAGGCGGATTCAACTTGCGCAAGTTTGTCTCCAACTCCGCTGAGTTGAATGAGATCGTCAATGGTACCGCAGCGACACCACTGTCGACTAACGGTCTGCCTACTGTCGCCGTGGACAACGACTCGTATGCCAAGACCATGTTGAACGGCTCATCCGCAGCCACCACCAAAGTCCTGGGCATTCCATGGGACAGGACATCTGACCGTCTTACGTTCAGCGTCGACGAGGTGTTCAGCACGACCAAGGTCGACTCGCCAGTAACTAAGCGCCAAGTCCTATCGGCGTCAGCCAAGCTGTATGACCCCCTCGGACTCCTGGCACCTATCACCATCACCCTCAAGGTATTTCACCAACAACTATGCCAGTTGAAGATGGGCTGGGATGACCCATTGGAGGGAGAGTGTCTTGGCAAGTGGCAGACGATGATACGGGAATTGAAGGCCATGCCACCGGTCTCATTGCCACGGCACTACGCAACAGACGCGAACGGCAACATCACACGTGTCGAGCTACACGGTTTCTGTGACGCGTCCGAGAGAGCCTATGCAGCAGCGATCTACATTGTGTTCACGACGGAAGTGGGCACTTCAGTACAGCTAGTCGCTGCAAAGACTCGTGTTGCGCCGCTGAAGCAACAGACCATTCCCCGTCTCGAGTTGCTTTCAGCACTGGTATTGGCTCGCCTGATGGCATCAGTCTCCTCAACTTTGGCAGATCTGAAGATTGATCAGATTCACTGCTGGTCAGACTCCCAAGTGGCACTGGCGTGGATAGCTGGAGTGGAGCAAACTTGGAAGCAGTTTGTTGAGAGCCGGGTTACAGAGATCCGACGTCTCGTTCCGACGTCCTGCTGGAGCTACTGCCCAACAGCTTCGAACCCAGCCGACCTGCCGTCGCGAGGAGTGAAGCCCAGCGAGCTCACCAGTACCATCTGGTACACTGGTCCGAAGCGGCTACACGAGCCACAACCCCGAGCAGAAGTCGACAGCGGCTCCGCAGTATCTCAGTGTGAAGAAGTCGAGAGAGAGAGAGAGAGAGAGAGAGAGAGAGAGAGAGAGAGAGAGAGAGAGAGCGGAAGGCGACACCTACCACGGTCATGGCAGTCGGCGCTATCCAGTAATCTGGTGCGCACCCCGGCGCCATGCGTCCGAAGAGAGATGCTGCCCGGTCAGCTGATAAGGCCAGACAGCAACTGATTAATGTTGGCTCCTTATAGAACTGCAGCAGCAATATTCTGTGTTTGATGAGAGCATCACGTTGCACCATGCTCTGTACTCTAGTAGCATCACGCTGTTGTAGGAATGAGTCAGGTACATGTAGTACACTAATTTCTAAGCTCTCATCTGGAGGGAGTGTGGAATATTGCATGCTTGTTAGATATTGCATGCTTGTCAGATATTGCATGCTTGTTAGAGATTGCATGAATAAGAGTATTGTCACAAACTAATGGTTCGCACCAAGCATACATACAAGCATACAAGCAATTGATTATACAGTCTTCTTTCTTCTTTCTATCGTGTCTTCTAAAGTATTTTACTTACCTTTTGCGCCATGGTACGCCTACGACGTTCCCATGGTCTTCACGTACGACATACGGTTTTCTAGCCCTTTTTCCTGGAGCTTGTCTCCTCGTGTCGTTTCTGTTTCATTGGTTTTTCATTACGTTGTCTAGTGATAAGTTACAGTTTTGAGTCTAAGTGAACCCAAGATGCGCTCGCGTTGAGCCAAAGCAGCCTTACAAGATACCGTTTTGTAAAGGAAGTAACACGTTAGTTAGTTTGAGTTTTTGAGGTTATCAGTTCCCACACGTGTGACAGCGATCGTGGCTGGTGTTCTGGGTGGGCGGACAGAGTTTTTTTAATAATCTGCAGTGCAGGCAGAGGTGTTTTATTCATGGGTGTGACTGGTGTGGTATGATTGAGTGATTTGCGTGGTCTTTTCCTCTTTTTCCTCTGTTTACTATTAGAATCGAGGACGATTCTACTCTTGGGAGGGAGTTATGTTGTAGTACGTTATTTTGTGTACGTCGTGTGTACGTCATGTTGGTGCATGCGCGTGTTGCTGTGGTGTGAAAAGCAGTCTTCGTCTTGAGTTCATCACGTCTTCGTCTTGAGAGTTCATCATGTCTTCGTCTTGAGTTCGTCATGTCTAGTTGTGTTTCTTCGTCGTGTCAATAAACAGTCTTCTAAATGTAGTTATCGTCGTCCCTTTGTATAAATGTGGAGATGGCACGGGACTGGGAGCAGGTAGAGAAAAGCGAGATACAACACAAGCACGGGCAGGCATCAGAGTACGCCGATGTCCTCACCGCTCTACGCCAAGGAAAGCAGCAACAGCTCATCCAGCTCAAGCTCTTTCAAGGCCCCGATGACGTCATCCGCTGCCGCGG